TTAACAACGCTATCAACCTGGGTGGCAACTTTCAGTGATCTATGCACATGGACACTGAGATCTTTCTGCTCATCCACACTACCAAGAATCTTACCATTAGCCCAGTACTCTGTATTCCTGTTACTCCTTCCAAAGTGAATCACCTCACACTTTTCCGCATTAAACTCCATTTGCCACCTCTCAGCCCAGCTCTGCAGCTTATCTATGTCCCTCTGTAACCTGCAACATCCTTCCGCACCATCCACAACTCCACCAACTTTGGTGTCATCCGCAATTAGAAAGTGCAGCAATCTCTTTCACAATTCTTGATTTTAAGACAGTCTTTCTTCCTATTTTAGTCCATAATCAAACAGACAGAAAAATAAAAAGATCTAGTCTTTACTTTCAATATGGAAAATATTTGTAGGTAAACGGAATCTGATGAACATGAATTTGTGGTGAGACCCCTTGATTTGACAAATTGAGATTCTACTGTATGGATCTATTGACTATATTAGGTGGGGAGATTGTTAATGTGTTTCTTCTTGAAATATGGGAGATGATCGACAGGACAAAATTTTTTTTTTCCTTTAGTTTCCTAAACAAGATGGGCCTAAGAACTTCTCCTTAATCCAATGCCGTCCTTGTTGTGATCCTTCTCAAATCATGGTATAAGCTAGGGAAATCCAGGCTAACTCCTCCGTGACAATGAAGGGATAGTGAAATCCATGTCCATTTTCAATCATTATAACAATATTATTCAATAGTAATTTTAATCTTTCCCTTTGCAGTAAATATTTCTTTTCCTCTTTAGGATTTATACAAAAGAATCACCAAGAAGCTGCAGAACCACTAATAACACATAAGTGCGATCCCTCCACATCATTTGATGCTGCTACTAGTGCATATGGTGAAATATTGCTCTTCAAAAATAAGTAAAAGTTTATTATCTATATCCTCGCCATTGTATAATACAGATATTCACATTGCTCCTTGATTCAAAAGCAGTTTGATTAATGATACATGTGTTTTAATGTGTTGATTAGATACTTTTGGCAGACACAGCCAGCAGTAGCAGATGCCAAGTTGACTGCTATCCAGGATGTCTGGCTTGGCCTCCCATCAAACATTGACGCTGCTTGTGAAATTCCTGAAGATGATATTATTTACTTTTTCAAAGGTGATCCAATTTATTCTGCATTGATTCCAAATTAGAAATGAATCGAATAAAGTTAGCACAGAGCAAGATTGAAACTAGGATGACAGTTGTATAGGAATTTGTATTTAACTGCCTAATGAGTTAGATATATATGGAAGCAGAGGCAAAGACCATTGTGGTTCATCCAACAAATTCCAAAATCGAAAATAAAAACAATTAGACTACAACATGACTTCAACAGGGACATCAAACGGGTGCTGGCTGATTGTAGTACACACCTGATTGTCCTCAAACAGGATTTATATTGAAACTTTTTCCTTATTTGCAGGAACAAAATTTTGGGCATACAACCGTTATGATCTTAGTCAAAATTCATCTCAATCTATTTCCCTCTTTGGACTTCCAGCATATGTGAAGCAAATAGATGCAGTAATATTTATTCAACAGACAAAAAAAATAATATTCTTTGTGGGGAAGATGTACTGGAGGTAGGTATTATTCACTGTTATTGTTATTGTTGTCCAGCCTTCAGTCACCCATTCACCAGGAAATGTTTGCAGTCATCAATGTCCTCATTCACCCTCTCTCCTTTTACTATTTCTGATGAGAAAATAGTTATTTCAGCAGCATAGATCTGAGTCATGTGTGGAAACTCTGCAGAATCCTTAACATAGCAGTCTCCGAGGGAACTGCTGGGGAATTGAAGGTTCTGATGGACAATATTTCTATACCTGGAGCCCCCTGAAATATTCCATTTAAATTGGAGAAATCAGAGGGTTCTGCTGCATTTAGGTTGATAGTTACCCAGGAAAAGATAAACTATTAAATGCTGGGTGTAACAACTAGATAACTAATAAACTCACTCACAACTTACCAACCCCAACACTACACATTCCCCCAACACTTTAAGCCTCCAGACTATGACCCAGACTCTGCCTACTGCCAGATCCAACAAACTTCACAATTGGAACCCAACATCCCACATTCCCCCAGATGGACGTACACCCTCCCCTTAAGGTGCTGAGACCCAACACTGCCACCAATCTGGGCACCCACTTTCCAATGCCCAGGTCTGATACCAGCCCATATCCTATCAGGGACTGACATTCTGCCCTCTCACCCAGGACCTGCACCACATCAGGACCAACACAACCCCTTCCCACCCAGGACCAAGACACCCCTCTTCCCCTGGCAACTGACAACAACCAGCCAAGGGACATGCACCCCCGCTCCTCAGAACCTGACACCCTCTACCCCCATGAGACCTGGCATCAGGGCCCATCTCCACTTGACCGGCCCGAAACACCCCATCATTACCTGACACCCCCTTTCCCGTTTGGTGCCATGCCCCATAACCAGCTGGTACATTACCCACCTGGCACATTACTATTCCTGAACCCTAACCCCACACCTACCACAGATACTGACCCATTCAATGGAGCTGTCATAGTGGCCACCAGTGATCTGAACATTTAAATCACTGTATGTAGTGCCTATAGTGGTATGATTTCCCAGCCCCTGATAATCCCACACCACCAGCGACCTGTTAGAGTTAAAGCTCATTGCTGACTCAGATATCCATTATCACATCTGTCTGAACTGTACAAGCGCTATCAAATCTCACTATCCTTGAATAAAACCAACTGCTACTCTACAATTGTCGTGAATTGCAGAAACGACCCATCGCTTTCTTTCTGCACTGCCATCTCCTTAAACACTCTTGCTTTTTCTATTCTCACCACCAATGGCAAGGGCAAAAAGCTGATGCAAACTGGTTACTTCTGTCATTTATTCGATGTGTAGAATTCCCCCATGCCTTCAGCAACATTGGCAAGGGCAAGGAATGTGGAAAAATATGGTGAGAATGAAAAGAAAATTTGTTTCTTGCCATCAGGAAAAAAGTCTAACTTTCCCCTACGGTTTCAATGGCAAGATCGGAATCTGACTGAGAAACGAGAACTTTCCATGTATTTGCATTTCATTAATACCCCAACTTACCACATTGATACGTGTCTTGCAATTCTCCCCCTCTCTCCCAAGTCTGCTATGTCGGTGATTTCACAGAGTCACCATGCACAGCTCCTATCCATGCTGTAGCATTGATTATCTGACTGTCGGAACATCCAGACCAAAGAAACAAAAGATGTGCCGAGGGCAGCTGTGATACTGTCTGAAAGCAATAACCAGGGTAAAACCAAAACATAGAAAAATAAACTGAAACGGTGGTGAGTGATTACGGGCTAAAATTGCTGAATTCAATATTGAGGATTGACCAAATTTACTCTGCCACTATAAGCCAGTGGTATACCATTGTGAATCCATGTTTCCGATTGTGCACACATGAGCACACCGTTCCTGGATACATATTCCACCATCTACCTGAAGACCAGGAATCCAGTAATGCTACCAGTAATGAATCCATTGATATCAGAGTCAGGGATACATCCTTGTGAAGGGTGGAAATTCCACAGTATTGAAGTTGAGGTAGGAAATACGAAACAGTGAAAAATCCCAGCCATTGTATTTTGTAATTAGTGATATTAAAAAGAAAACCAAAGATAGATTCAGTCACCCCAGTGAGGGACTGTGCTCAAAGGCAGGAGGGATTGTACACAGTACTGCAGAGCCAACTCACTGATCACTGTATTCCAAGAATGGCTATCAGGAGATGGTGTGATGAATAACGTGAAGATAAAACTGATTCACACTGTTATAATAACTGGAATTGAAGTTCTAATGAACGAGGTATTAAAAATTTAAGTTCTGGATTGTTTTAATAGAGTAGATCTATGCACAAAGCAACATGAAATTCAATGGCAAGATGATTTACCGCAATTTAAATAGGTTCTAGTACTTCAATGTACTGGAGCACAAGTCTTCAAATAATAGATAATGTATAATATTATTCACTTAATTCGTAATCCTACACATTATGATATGAGTTGTATTAACTAAAGCTGTTTATTTTTTGCTGTTCAGTTACAATGAGAAAATAAAGACTATGGACTATGGCTATCCAAAACAGATAAATAGCAACTGGCCAGGAATCAATGACAAAATAGATGCTGCCTTACAGAGTAATGGTAAGTGCCTCATAGTAGCAAAGTTTTTTAAAACTCAAAATGGACAAGATGGTTTACTGTCATCAACCATTAAAATTCTGTCAAATAACAGACTTCTGTATAATTAGTGCAACAATTGGAATAATACTGTTTATAATGGCTGATGAAGCACAGAGATTATTGCAGATAGGATTATAGGGCCAATTCTGTTTTTAAAGCAAATTGAATGAAGTGATATTTTTCTGTTTTTGTCCTAGGATTGTTTTACTTCTTCAGTGGGCCACGACTGTATGAATATGACAACTGGAGAAAAGAAATTGTTCGCACATTAAATTCTAACAAATGGCTGGGATGCTGAGCATCTGAATTCTGACTCACTATACAACATATATTTTAGGCTAAAGATCAATTCTCAGTGGCCAAATAGTTATAAGGACGAGCATTCTGCCACAAAATTTGAATGAAATAATGTAATTACTACAAGTCTTTTTAATACATCCAATGTTTTTCTAACATTATAACTAAGTAAATGATTAAGCAATGTTTCTTCTTTTTTTAAAAAAAAGGTATTCTAAAGCATTGAAGTGAGTCCATGAGCAGTCCATTGAGCATCATTCTTTGACAGACCACCACTGTATGGTTAGATTTTAACATATACAATACAACAAAGGGAGCATTGGAGGCTGTTCATTATTGGGTTTTTATGAAGGTGTCAGTTATGCATCTGTAAGCTTTGTCCTATGTTACATTTTTCAGATTATTGCCTCCTTCTGTTAAATAAATAATTTTTAATGTCAATTCTATGATTTGGAATTTAATTGCACCCGGAAATGGGTAGAGAAGGATGAGATGTGGAATGGCTCATTCCTGCTTTTATGAATATATGGAGCACATGATGTCAGTGTTGCATGCTAATTATAATAATTTATACGATGTTCTGTACCTGGTGTGAGTTGGTAATTACGGGTAGCCCTAACACAATAGTGAAAAGTGAAACCATCTTATGTGAAACACATTCCCACAGAAACCCATGTAAATGTTAGGGCTATGTTTGCAGAATGTTGAACAAGGAGGGAATACAGGCACAAAGTTAATATGAAACACCAAAATAGACATGAAATTCAGTAAAAGTAGCATATTTTAATGTTTCTTGCCTTGTTTACAAGCTTGTTTCCCTGGAGGTGGAGGGTTGTGGAACTTCACCTGTCACACTGGGAGGTGAAGGTTGAGGGTTTATCCTGGTGCTCCAGACAGGGAAGGTGGAATGGCCTGGGGCACAATTTTTAAAACAACCTATCCAGCCTTAGTTAAGGTAGGCAACAGGTGAAGTGAGCTGAACAAACAGGAACCTGCCCAGGAATACAGTGTTTTGGCACACATTTATTCCTTGGTGCTGCCATATTGGAATGATGGGTTGTAAATTAGAAACCCCCATGTTATGGTGAGACCATATCAATTGAAACCTGATTAACCAAGGACTATCTGTATGAATGAATGAATGAATTAGCTTCATTGAGATTCTTGCACTATCGCTACAAGAAAGTCAATGACTGTCTGTGCTCCACAAGGGTGTAAGTGCTACTCTCTCCTCCCTGCTACCTCACACTCACTCCACCTCTGCCATTACACTCAGTTCCCTCCAGCAACCATGGTCTCCCACTCTCAATTCTGCCTACAGCACCTTCCCTCAATGTCTCTCATTTACCCCCAGCCCCACAAACCATTAACCATTCCTCCCCCCTTACTGCACACTCCACAGGACATCTCATTACTTTTCCCGACTGAAGGTGAAACAGCACCCAGCCCCAACTAACCACAGGGAGCGTAGATGTGACTCAGGAGGACTGCCCTTACACTTCCTGATGTGTCTGCTTCGTTGAAACACATGCAGTGTGCTTGCTGAGTAAGCTGCTACCACATGGTGTACAGGTCAGACTGAAGTAATATGGTGCCATACATTAATGTCCAGTCCCTAGACCGATCATTGTGGCTCCATGGGAAGGTGTTGATAATGGGAATGTGGCTGGACTGGTAATCCAGGCTGAGGCTAATGCTCTGGTTTGGGGGGTAAGGGTTCAAGACCCATTGAGATTGTAGGGACATGGGTTCAAATCCCATTGTTGATGGTGAAACCTGAATTCAATAAAATCTAGAATTTAAAATTGATCTAGTGATGATCATATAAGGGCGGCACTGTGGCACAGCGGTTAGCACTGGGGACTGGGGTCTGGGGTTCAGTTCCAGCCTCGGGCGACTGTTTGTGTGGAGTTTGCACATTCTCCTCGTGTCTGCAGGGTTACAGGGATAGGATATTGGGGTGGGTTTGGGTGAGATGCTCTTCAGAGGGTCGGTATGGACTCATTGGTCCGAATGGCCTGCTTCCATACTGTATGGATTCTATAACTCTAAGAAAACCACCATGGATTGCTGTTAAAACCCCATCTGGTTCACTCATGTCCTTTAGGGGAGGGAAATCTGGCACCCATACTAGTTCTGGCCTACATGTGACTCTAGACCCCAGCAAAGTGGTTAGCTCTTAACTGCCCTCTGAAATGACCTGGTAGGCCTCACTCAGTTCAGGAGCAATTATGGATGAGTAACAAAAACAAGACTTACAAATGATGTTCACATAAACTGCAAGAACAGAAACAAATGATGAGCTGCCTGACTTTCTGCCTGCATTGAAAGGTGAAGTAAGTCAGAACTAGTGAGAAGCTGTAAGTTCTGAATGAAGCAGGAATGCTGAAAAGACCCAGTATGAGCATCAAAGGAAGCACAAAGTGAGTGAGCTGTAAAAAGCAAGGTACCAGTCCCGAGATTAACCCTGCACAGATGCGTGAGATGGTACCTGTGCCTGCACTCAAAGCAACCTGTCTTTAGTGACTGAGTCAAACCAGGGGTCAGCAGCTTGTGACCCACTGGGAATAAACACACAGCTGATCACTCATGTTAGATTGCTAAAGGAAATAGCCACATACAAGATTTAGCTCATGTCACACAAATACAGTCTTACAGGGACCAGACAAGCAAAGAATGCTGGACTCACTGGGAAATATGTCAGGCAGCCCAATGTTACAGAGCATGGAGAATAATCTTTGTAGATTTTCCCAAGGTTTTATGCAGGGATGAGGAACTTCATTTACAAAGAAAGATTGGAGAAGTGGGTTCTTTCGCCTTGGAGAAGAAAAGTTTCAGAGGAGATTTGATAGAGACATTCAAAATAAAATTTAAAATTGCAATAATTATTGCAATCAATCTATATTTATACAGTATAGTTAATGCGGTAAAACATTTCAAGGCACTACACATGGGCATTAATTCATGGAACTTGACACTGAGCTACATAAGACTTTTAGATTTAGATTTAGATTTAGGTTTTATTGTCACATGTACGCAGGTGTGTGGTACAGGAGTATAGTGAAAACTATACAATGTCATTACATATGGCACCCTCTTAGGTACTAAATCTTAGTTACAGAAATAGAGAAATAAAGAAATGTCAAAGTTCAGCACTACAAAATGCTTATCATAATAGTAGAAAAATGGAGAATTAAAGTTATTTCTTAAGCCATGGGCCTGCAGATGCTCCAAGCTGGGCATACCCCAAGAGGGTTTGCTCTCCCCTCACTGGGCTAAGACCCACCCGGATCACGCCAGGTTTCACCGCTGCTCGCAAGGCTTCAGCCCTGACCACTACCCAGTTGCTGTGCCCATCCTTCGCCAATGGGCAGTAATCACTGACTGACTGCTGCCACCATCTGGGCTCGTGCTGGGTCCCAGCTGCTGCCTCACAGCCTCCAAAAGGTAAGAAATACTAAAAACTAAAACTAAAAACTGAGAAAAAGAAAGGAAGTACTAGGCAAACGATCAAAAGCTTGGACAAAGATGTGTGCTTTAAATAACATCATAACAGATGAAAAAGGAGCAGAGAGTTGGGAAGAATAAGTAGGAGAATTCAAAAGCTTGGGCTTTGGTAGCTGAGTTCACAACAAATAATGGTAGAATTAATAAAATCAAAGCTGTAACGAGATCAGATTTGGAGGAGGCTGCTAACTCAGACAATTCTAGGTTTGAAGCAGGTTATATAAATCGCAGGAATCTGAAAACTGATGAGCATACATTAAATGATGTATTCGAAATGGACTGTTGATTTGTGATCACCCAGTAAATAATTTCACTGACAAAGAATTTAGCAGAAAATTATACATGTTTAAAGTCTTCAACCAATACCTGGAAATTTAAGAACTAATAGTGAATAACAAAAGAGCAAGAGAGAGTAAGACCATTGAATGAATCCAATTGATGCTCACCATTATTAGTCATCATTAGGTCTTTACCTTCAGCAACTTGCCCTCAGATGGACTGGGAGCATTGAGAGATCTCCAGCCATCTTTAATAGGATGATGAGCTTGTTAATTGGCTGCCCCTAGGAATATTGGTTGAGTAGATTTTGGAGACAGCAGGTTTACAACCCCAATTTGATGATGACATTGTGATCTGTAAATCTGGATGAGAAATGCCACATGACTCACTTTGCCAATTATTGTCATGTGCTCTTTGCGTTAACTGATGCTACCACACAAGTAGGTGGTGACCTCGTATTTCATCAATCCCATTCCGATCGGAATGTTGTTTTCCCTTCTGTGGACAACTCTGTGAAGTCCTATACATTCCACCACGAAAAAAAGGATATAAAAAGTGCTGGCAATAGTGCCCGTGTCTGGACGGAGGGAACAGTTAATCTTTTTGGTTTGTGACATTTTATCACTACAATCCTGATGAAAGGCCATCAATGTGAAATGTTTACTCCATTTATCTCTCCCCCAATGCTGTCTAACCTGCAGAAGTGTTTTCAGAATTTTCTGCTGTAATTTCAGATTTCCAGCAACCAAGGCAACATAAGAACATCAGTAATGGGAGCAGGAGTGAGTCATTTAGTTCCTCAATACTGCTCTGCCATTCTGTCAAACCATGGCTGATCTGAACTTGCTTTAATTCCACTTTCTTGTCAGCCATCCACAAACCTTGTCTCCTTGTTAATCAAAAGTCTTTCTCTCACAGATTTCTGTATATTTAATGATCCAGACCCCCATTGCTTATTGGGGTGGGGTTTGGGGAAGAATTCCAAACACCCATGACAATCCCATGACAATCAGAAGGAAACTGGGAGACCCCGGATTTTGCAACAGTTTCCCCAGTTCATGATTCCTCTTTCAGGGAAACTTCTGACATCACTTATCTTGTCAAGCTCCCTCAGAATCTTATATGATTCAATAAGAACACCTTTCATTCTTCTCAAATCTGGTGAGAATAAGTCAAACTTGCTCAACCTGTCCTTATATCAAAATCCTCATCCAGAAATCAGCCTAATGAACCTCCTCTGAACTACCCCCAAAGCAAGTTTGTCTTTCTTTAAGTTAGGCCAGCAAACTGCACAGCACCCCAGATGTGGTTTCACCAATATCCTTGTAGCAAAACCTTCCCATCTTTGCATTCCAACCACTTGCAATAAAGGCCAACATGGTCAGACTCGACTGTTACTTTTAGCCTTCAAGTAGGTATCAATGAAAGTGTTCACGAACAAAAATAATGGCCAGGCATTCTTTCTGGAAAGGGGTTTAGCATCTTTCTGTTTGTCTTTGGGCCCTGGATGCAAACGCAAAAGGCTCACCATGTTGAATTAGGTGAGTCCTCCCTCGCTGATGTCCCTCCGCAGGGAGACTTTACCATTTACATCCTACATATTTCAGGGCAGGTGCTGCCAATTCCGCCCGTTTAATTTTGTTTGTTCTTGTTCCGAGCCCCAATATCACTGCATTCTGTTGGCAGTGAGTTGGCATAATAGTTCACACTTCAATGACAAAGCGGAAAAAAGTTTTGTCAAATAGTTGGTGAATTCAACAAATCGTTAACTTTTACACCTGTTGGTCTCTGCATCACTGTAAAGTGCTCACCTTTTCAGGATCCAGGCAAAAACTTTTACCTGCCAGTGCATGGCCCATATACTTGATTTCAGGCACCTTTAATTTTAAATTCTACTTGTTCAGCTTCAGATTTACCCAGCAAGCTTTGCTGAACAGTTACACTAGGTTTTGACTGCAGTCAGCAATGATTTCTTCAATGATGATGGTGGTATCTGGGACATTGCCTGAAAGACCTGCTTCTATAAAGATGACAGTGTCTGGATGTTCCTTGAGTTGTCTATGGGAAAGCTCGTCCAATGTTGTCAGAAGCCCCAGGCTTTGACCAGGAGAAATTTGCAGGGTTGATAGGACGGAGTTAGGCGTGATCATTCCTGGTGCCTGTTGGACCTTTCCGTTTCACTCCTCTCTTTAGAGTTTGTAGCAGTTTGACAAGTTGCATGACTTTTTGGGCCCTTTCAGAGGGCAGTAAAGAGCCAATCCCATTAATGAAGACCTCAAGTCACATTGTAGGCCAGATCAGATAAGGGTTTTCAGGTTTATTTCCCTAAAGAGTATTAAAGGTAAAGTCACTCTAGCCTACTGAACCGTAGGGCTGCTCTCTCATTAGAGAGAGATGACTGGTGGTGGTTTAACCTGAGGGTCACCGTGCCTCATGTAAGGATAGACGAGAGTCCTTCATGGTAACCTCAGCTGGTGCAGGAATTGAGTCTGTGCTGTTGGCATCATAAACCACTCACCTGGCCAACTGAGCTAAGCAATTGCAAAACATAAAGGCTACTAGTACATCAGCTTCAGCCTTGCCTTGCACACAGTTGTTCTGGGAGATCTCTCTCCTGGTTAATTGTTTCACTGTCAACGACCAGATACAGCAGTTCTGGCTGTGTTACCAGGGGAAGGATATACCTGCCATAGACAGGGTGCAGCAGAATGGATTCCTGGAATGATGGGTTGTTGTATGAGGAAAGAATGATTGTGGAGGTGTTGGTGTTAGACTGAGGTGGATGAAGTCAGAAATCGCACAGCATCAGGTTATACTCCAACAGGTTTATTTGAAAACACAACCTTTCAGAGCGCTGCTCCTTCATTAGGTGGAGTCAGAGAAAGATTGAGCAAACTGGTTCTTTATTCCTTGGAGTTTAGAAGAATTAGAGGCAACATCATAAAAATCCAAATCCTGTAAGGGATAGACAGAGTAGATGCAGAAAGGATGTTTTTCTGGCTGTGGAGTCTTGTACCAGGGGACACCGTCACACAATAAAGACAAGCCCCACTTAGGATTAAGGTGAGGGGGAACCTTTTCACTCAGAGGATGGTGAATCTTTTCTACCCCAGAGGGCTGTGGAAGGTCAGGTTTTTGAGTAAGTTCAAAACCGAGCTTGATAACTTTCTTGTTGCTAATGTTATAAAGGGATATAGGATAAAAAATTATTGTCATGTGTACTTTTACATGAAAAAACAGTAAAAAGCTTTATAAGTCACCACATCACAGTTACATCAATGACAGAAGTCATACGTAATAATAAAAAAAAGTAAAATTAAGACAAAGTTCATGACAGCTCAGTTAAAGGCTCTTTCGGTGTCCACGTGCATAGATCACTGAAAGTTGCCACCCAGGTTGATAGCGTTGTTAA